GTGTTATAAAGACTGAGTTAGGGTTACACATGGACTTTTCAGGGTGGTCAGGCCAGCCAAACACAGCCAGAGTCCTTTAGAACATATTTGTTTACCTTATTGGAAAAACTGTCAATAATGGATGTTAAACTTTCTGTGTGACTGTGCCAAATTGAGCAACACACCTTTACTATCTTCTCAGTGTTTATCCTAAAAATCAGTGTATAGTCGAATCAATAAAACCTAACACAAATCATTGCACAGTAACCATAGAAACCTCACTCAGTACTGAACTCAAATAATGTTTTGTACAACAGACTGACATCTACATCAACTTTCCTCTGCTTTCATAAACTGTGTAAAATATCCTGCTTGGAGAGTCAATTTCTCTGGATTGGAATAAAATCTCTTTATCCATCCTCTCTCAGGGTGTTTTTAATATACCTCTGCTTATGAATTACAAATAAAACAAACGTTTGAAGCTATTCTGCTTGTGACTGATTATTTGCTTATTAAAAGTTGTCAGGATTGTAAGAAGACATTTTGAAAAATACACATCTGTAAGAGAATTGCAGCAACAATTCAACTTCTCACAAGTGCTTAGTATATGACAAATTATATTTATTTAACAAATGAATCGAAGATCAGAAGTCCACCTACTAACTTTTATTGAAATATACTGTAGTCTTTTCTATGGAAGCCCATTACTGTCAGGAAAAGTTAGATGTTTTTCATAAAATAAAATCATGGCAAGTCATATTATGATTGAAATTAGGAGATGTCTTTAAAATTATAATAGTCTATAATTATAAGATTGTAAATAAAAATTTTGACTATGAAAATGTGACTCTTCAATGTAAGAAAAAAGGCTGCATGTGTGCTTTCCAATAAGGTGCTCAGCCTAAAATATAAAGCAGTTCCTAGGTAGAAAAGGGGGTGCAGCATCAAAACAATCAGGGCCTGCTGAGCTTTACATTTTCTCTTATGTAACTGCCGGCAGGTTCCACTTACATTTTATTCCCCATTTGTTTTTGGATTGGTAAATTCTGATAAATGATCTTCAAACTATTTTCAACATTTCACTATATGTACTTGGTGAGGGAAACTGCATTTTACTCTTGTAGGTAACTAATTCAGAACTAGTAGAAGTAATCAGTGCTGAACTTATTTAAAAATAACTCACAAAGAATGCTAAAAACATACAACCTAGGATTACTATTAAGTACGTGTTTTACACGTCATCAAACTATGCTTTTATTTCTTGATAAATTCCATCAGAATGTGATATATTGCATGACATAATACATAATCACACTCAGAAGGAAACTTTAGCTTGGCTCATCAGAGGATTTATTCACTATAGTGTGTACAAAAGATATTCTTTTGTGATTACGTCCACCCAAGTTGGAAATCACTGCGACCAATTCTATTTGTAATAGTGTACCGAGCACCTGGTCCGTACTCTGAATTCTTATCTGAATTTGCAGAGTTTTTGTCAACTTTAGGCCCTCCGTAATGCCAGAGCAGCGTAGTACTCGTCATTAACAGAGACAACTAGGAACAACCCCAGGTTTCTTTTCAGCACTGTAGCCAGGCTGACAGAGAGTCATAGCTCTATTGAGCCAAGTATTCCCATAGCTCTCAATAATTACGACTTCTTGAGCTTCTTTATCAACAGGCTGTGTACCAGTTCAATTCAATTCAATTTTATTTATATAGCGCCAAATCACAACAACAGTTATCTCACAGCGCTTTTCATTCCCTCTGTACCACAGTACTTTAAAGTAGCTGTAATTAAACCTCTTCTGAAAAAGACCAACCTTGATCCACATGTTTTAGCAAACTATAGACCTATATCTAACCTTCCATTTCTCTCTAAAAGGAAGAGTCGCCAAAATAGCTGTGTGACTTTCTACATAGCAATAGTTTATTTGAGGATTTTCAGTCAGGATTTAGAGTTCATCATAGCACAGAGACAGCACTGGTGAAAATTACTAATGACCTCCTAACTGCATCAGACAAAGGACCTGTCTCTGTACTGGTTTTATTAGATCTTAGTGCTGCTTTTGATACCATTGACCATCAGATCCTGTTACAGAGACTGGAACATTTAATTGGCATTAAAGGAACCGCTCTAAGCTGGTTTAAGTCCTATTTCTCAGAGTTCCACAAGGATCTGTGCTCGGACCAATCCTCTTCACTTTATATGCTTCGTTTAGGCAATAGTATTTCATTGTTATGCAGATGATACTCAGTTATATCTATCGATCGAGCCAGATGAAACTCATCAGTTAGCTAAACTTCAAATGTGCCTTCAAGATGTTAAAACCTGGATGACCTCTAATTTTCTAATGTTAAACTCAGATAAAACTGAAGTTATTGTTCTGGGGCCCAAGCACCTCCGTGACGCATTATCTAAAGATATAGTTTCCCTTGATGGCATCGCCCTGGCCTCCAGCACCACAGTGAGGAATCTCAGAGTTATCTTTGATCAGGACATGCCGTTTAAGTCTCACATCAAGCAAATTTCAAGGACTGCCTTTTTTTACCTTCGTAATATTGCAAAAAATCAGGAACATCCTGTCTAAAAATTATACAGAAAAACTAGTCCATGCATTGGTTACTTCTAGGCTGGATTACTGCAATTCCTTATTATCAGGCTCAAAAAAGTCCATTAAGACTCTTCAGCTGATTCAGAATGCTGCAGCACGTGTTCTGACAGGAACCAGGAAAAGAGATCACATTTCTCCTGTTTTAGCTTCTCTGCATTGGCTTCCAGTAAAATCTAGAATAGAATTTAAAATCCTTCTTCTCACCTACAGCTCTTAATGGTCAGGCACAATCTTATCATAGCTTATCAAGAGCTCATAGTACCTTACTACCCCACCAGAGCACTGCGCTCCCAGAATGCAGGGTTACTTGTGGTTCCTAGAGTCTCCAAAAGTAGAATGGGAGCCAGAGCGTTCAGCTATCAAGCTCCTCTCCTGTGGAACCAGGTTCCACTTTGGGTTCAGGAGGCAGACACCATCTCCACATTTAAGAGTAGGCTTTAGACTTTCCTCTTTGATAAAGCTTATAACCATCCCTTAGTTGCTATAGGCCTAGACTGCCGGGGGATTTCTGTAAATATCATCAGAGTACGGTCTAGACCTGCTCTTTTATTAAAAGCGCTCTGAGATAACTGTTGACATGGTAACCCTAGTTCTATAAGCACAGGCGGAGCCCTCTACTGGACTCTATGGGTACTACCTCCTCCAATCACACACAGGCACTTGCCCACTGAAATTTTATCGTACACGTAGCTGACCAATAGTATATAGGCAGACTTTTTTGCTTGTTTAAAAGTAAAAACAAACATTAAAAAATTACTTTAATAATTCATGCGGGAAAGACCCCTGCAGTCAACTGTACACAAGCTTCAAGTACAATGTCAGATTCTGTAATTATGCTGGATTATACTGTTCATTAAAACAACTTCTGGATGTGGATGTTGAACTTACATTATATGTACACTGCAACAGCATATCCAAAATTCAGTTTGCACGATCTAGGGTCACTACTCTGTGCATAAAATCTGGTGATTGATTGTACAAACACATATACATTTCAAACTTTAAAAAAAGAAAATCAACCATATGTCCCAGGGAGCTAACATTTTTTCAGCACACCCACTGATGTGTAATAAAAATTTGCCTCACTGCAAACTATGGTCAATTCCACTTCATTCAAATGCTGCAGCAATCGACACAGACTTTCTCTAGATGGCAGATATTAAGTGTTCGGAAGGGTTTTCAGATCTCAGAGTTGCAGTGATATTCAATATTTTGCTGTAATTTGTTCTGAATGCTCGATTTCTTTTTTGCTCAGTGTTGGATCAAACGTCAGCCAAATATTTCACAGTACACTAAAACCAGCAGAAATATGTGTGAATCTTTCCACAATTCTAGCAGCAACTTCCTGTGTTTTAATTTTAAACCGACAAAAATACCCCACTCTGGCACGTGAGGTCTTTACCTCAACTTCTGAAAACAACAATGAGGGAATTCATGCATGTGGCGTGTTTTCAAATGCTCATTGAAGTCAGATTAAGTCATTGCCAACTGTACTTGGACCTGTACTTGAAAATGTCAGCTAAAAAGTGTTTTATACTAAGAAACAGAAAAATAGCAGGCGCGTTGCAAACTCCACCCGCTACACAACAGTCATCGGCCTCATCCGGGACGGTGATTAGTCGGCCTACAGACGGGAGGCTGATCAGCTGGCTCTCTGGTGCGGTCAGAACAACCTGGAGCTTAACATGCTCAAAACTGTGGAGATGACTGTGGAGCCCCCCCACTCTGCCCCCCCATCACCATACTCAACAGCCCTGTGTCTGCTGTGGAATCCTTCAGGTTTCTGGGTTCCACTATTTGCCAGGACCTAATGTGGGAGCACAACACTGACACGATCATCAAGAAGGCCCAGCAGAGGATGTACTTCCTTCAGTGCTGTTCATACTATGTCATATTGTATATACTGTATACCAATACACCTACCTCAGGTCATAAGGTCATAGGTCATATTTATTTTTTGCACTATGCTCCATCACACTGTGTACATGTATGTGTACCTGTATATCATATCCACCTTCAACATGTACATAATGAGAACAGTTTACCCTTGCATCCTTTGCACGCTGATCACTGCACTATTTGTTAATATGTCTATATTGTTTTGTTCATAGTGTGTATATTAGTGTTGTCTATTCTGTAGTTTGTGTCTGATTTTATTTTATTATTATTTTATTATTGTGTTATGGTATTATTGTATAAGTAAGCACATTGTGAGCAAGGTACAATCCTGAGTCAAATTCCTCGTATGTGTAAACATACCTGGCAATAAAACTGATTCTGATCTCTCCAAACGACACCTTAGACATTAAATAGTCATTTGACTGATTACTGGAGATATAACCCCTGTAAAAGATGTTTTCCACCTTTGGACAGAACCAGTCTTTATGCTATCAAATATGACATAACACATTAAGACAAAAGTACATTTTATAAAACAGAAAATACACCGTACATTATTGAAATATAGAAATATTATCAGTTTGGTAGTGCTCTGTGAATGAATGCATTGAGGCAAAAAGTGACAGTGTGGCAGTGCTTTAGAGTTATAACTTCTAATTACTCTTCCTCTCTCTTCTTGACAGAGTAACAAAAGTTCAGAGGCACACCTGTGTGGAGTAAAGTACATATTCTGGGAACAAATCTCCATCACTTTCAAAAACTGAAATCCATTTGGTACCTAGTGTTCTATACTGACTTTTTGCTATTTTATTTGAGTGTCTGAATTCTATGTGTAAAACATCTGCTTGGTTCACACAACAAAAGCACAATTGTAGCATCCAAAGTCTATTTTTTGCTAAAAAACAAACAAACAACAAAAAAACAATACAAAGCTTTGCTTTTCCTCCTGAGATGACAGACGTTTGAATTTGGTGAAACAAGTCAAAGTCAAAATTCTCTTGTCTAAATCTATCTGGTCTACTTATGTGATCAATTTTTTTTACAAGTGCAAAATGGTTAAGAAGTTAAGGAAAGCTTCCCAGTTCTGTGCAACATTTGTTTGAAACACTACAAGAATAAATGCCTCATAGAACCGCTATCAGAATAACTGAATTATTTGTGGAGCTCATAAGTTAGCTTACAGTCCTTTTGACATTTTCAGCTAATTCAGTCTCATTAATGCTTCCCAACCAACTCAAAATGTTTGAATGAGCAAGCAGCAAAAACACACAATTTCCAAACTGTTCAAAACTCTGGAGCTGCAGAACACAACAGAGAAGCATCCGGAGCATCCACCGCCGTACCCAACCCAGTGTGGATCCACACACATACAGTACAAGGCAGGTTTAAAGCAGTGACGTATTAGTAAAGCTATGTGTGAAAAATACATTTCACTTCATTTACATGTAGAGTAAGTAAAATAAAAAAACAGTGTACACTGTACAATATATCAAGTCCAATCTAAAGTGAGACCAGGAGAGTAAATGTGTAAAAGGTTGGCGCCTAAAACTGTTCAAAAAGGAGATTGCACAGTCTCTGAGACACGGAGTCCCTGCTGGTCCGGAGGGTGAGGCGGTACATCTAATTAGGAAACACACACAGTTACACAGGCTATACGACGGTTCAGTAAATGAGTTGTGTGTGCGTGTGTGGGCCTTCACCTGTGCTTGTGCGTTGGGCTCCAGTCTGAGGAGGCAGCCCACCTGAGTGTTCTTAGTGTGAATGACTCCAGCTCCGACAAAGTTTGCAGGGTTGGGATCCACCCCGTCCAGCAGAGCTACACCAAAACCTACGATCTGAGAATGAAGGTGGTGAAGCCAATGCCAATTTTCCACATCGTGGACAAAAACATTTTTAACCTAACCAACCAGCTAAAAAATAAATTATGGAAGAGGAATAAGAATTTTAATAAAATCATTATGATTATCTGTACACAAAAATGCAGTCAGAATGTCAAACAGCTGGTTTATGACCCACTACTGAACAGTTTCCCTTGAAGAAGTGATTTTTTACCTTGGCCTTGGTAACATCTGTGTCCATTGGGTGTTTGGCTTTGAAGATTTTCTGAACCTCTTGCTGAGGACTGAGGACACAGAGAAGATCACTACTTGTGGAGGGCAAAATAACACGAACATGTTCCTGTAGAATTCTATCCACTACAGAAATTGCAATGTACACCTCCTATTTGGACCTAATTTTGTTCATTTTTTGTTATTACTTTCATTTATACATGACCTAAAGGCCAAGAACAGTCGAAAGTAGACAGCTGGACAACACAAATCGCGCAGGAGCGGGCAGTTTTAACTCTGCGACTTTACTTAACTTTGAATTAGTTACAGACAACCCAGGTATTGTAATAAACTGGGAACAAGATCCAGTGGCTGTCTGAACCCACACATTCACTTTTTGTGGACTTTACATTAATACTGACCTTCTGATTAACAGCCATCACTGACCTACTGTATAACATTACTCAATAGTGTTTTTTTGTGATCTTTCAGACATGAAACAGACAAAATATATAGTGACATACAGATCCAATGAAATGGAGCAGCATTTCAAACAGTTACAGGAATCTGTTTTTCCTGCCTTTTCTAATCTGATGGGAAAAACCACAGCGGTGCACTGAGAAAGGAAACTGAGCCTTACGCTCCAAGCTGTTTCCAGCGTTGGAAGAAGTCTTGGGATGTCATCTCTGTGGGCTGGAAAAACTTGTTCAGCATCACAGGGAGTTTAACTGCAATGGTCTGAAGAGTTCCACCATATCTGTTCACGCACACATATAGTCAGAAATGAGCACAGATGAGTAGATAAATACATCAAAAGACGAAGTATGCATTCAGACACCAACCTGAACTGAACGTTGAGTACCGGTGCATCTGTGAAATCTGACACACATTCAATGTTGAGGATCTGCTGGACCTGAGCCCCACCTTCTATTATGGGGTCTACTGTCTTAGCGTGGACATTCAGCTGTGGAGACAATGGTCAAGGATTCTACAAGCACCTAAACGACACTATCACACATCCCAGCACAGAGTGAATGCTCTGTTCTGGCGCTGCTGGATCTCAACGAAGCTTCTGATACTGCAGATCACAGCATCCGGTTTCAAAGGCTTAGCTATGGGTATCCTATCCCTCAGAGAGGAGTTTTTTTTCTGTTACTTGGTCCATATGTGTCTGAAACTGCCGCTCTTTCCTGTGCTGTGCCTCAGGCTACTATATATATATTTTTTTAGTTTATGCTCCCCTTCACATCATCAGCCAATTTAAAAGGTACCCATTATCACTGTTATGATGATGAAAGGTGCTATATTTAATAAACAATACTTGATTACTATAGTAACTTTGGAAAGTAATGTTGCGTTGTAGGGCTATTTGAATAAAGTTATATTATAATAACGTTTGTACGCAGAGACAGCCATCCTGCAGAACTGACGTGTAAAATATTTCTCAGCTGGAAAAGTGGTAGTTATTGCTTTAGTTACTTGTGTTAAGTAAACTCCAGTACTTCCGTGGTCTGAAATGGGACAGTCAAGTTTGTAACAAGAAGCAGTGGAAAGGATATGAGTCGTGAGCGTGTCGTGGCTGGTCACTGATGAGGAGAAGCTGAGGAACTGGGTAGATGTCTTGTTGCCGTAGAACACATACATGCGACCTGTGGGACCACAGCAGGTAAATGTTTGAGTTCATTCTTTAACTACATCTAACCAGTATACACTACACTTACCATAATGTGTGAAACTAATCCCATATTGCACATGATTCTTTTTCATTATTCTCTAACTCCAGTCTGTCAGAAGTATCCTTTAAAAATATCCTTAAAACTGATGAGGTCTGAAGAGATTTCCCCAAAGCACAAGATGTAGAACTCAAGCATAGTGGAGAAAAGTGTACAGCTGCTCACCCAGGTTCTGCCTGTACTCAGACTTCAGTCCAATCTGCAAAAGCTGGTTCTCATAGATAACACCGTTGTTCTTACAAACAAACCTAGAATGTACAAGTACACAATTACACATTTGCAACGAGGACATTTGACAGCTTCTATTTTTGATAAGTTTAATAAATATTTGATAAGTTTGCACTTGGCACACCCATTTGCTTGGTTTGTTAAAAACAGCTAATGCTGACGTTTAAAGAACGTACATGAGGGTTTCACACTCTTAAGTTGCAGCCAGGCTGTTCAAACAAGTTATGTATAGAATGTATCGTGAATAAGCATTTCCCTCCCTCCACAGAAAACTGAGTGTACCTTTCTGATCAAGGCGTCTGGGTCAAGAAACAGTCCAGCAGGAGTCTCAGAGGATGAATAAAGGAACGTTGAGTGCTACTTGGTAACGAACCAAAGTCAGTTTATATGTGCTAGATTTTATCAAGGGCTGCCTATCCCTTTTGAGATACAGAGATCACTTTTGGGATATGTGCCTCATCGACCTCATCTGGGACGGTGATTAGTCGGCCTACAGACGTGAGGTTGATCAGCTGGCTCTCTGATGCGGCCAGAACAACCTGGAGCTTAAAACGCTCAAAACTATGGAGATGATTGTGGACTTCAGGAGGAGCCCCCCCCCCAACACTGACACCATCATCAAGAAGGCCCAGCAGAGGATGTACTTCCTGCGCCAGCTCAGGAAGCTCAACCTGCCTGAGGAGCTGCTGATCCACTTCTACACAGCCATCATCCAGTCTGTCCTCTGCACCAAAAAGGACAGGAGCAGACTACAACAGACAGTCAGGACTGCAGAAAAGATCATCAGTGCCAACCTGCCCTCCATTCAGGACTTATACATATACAACAGGACAGGAAACATACCTCTTCCAGCTTCTCCCCTCTGGTAGGTGCTACAGAGCACTGTACGCCAAAACCAACAGACTTAGGAACAGTTTCTTCCCACAAGCCATCACTCTCGCAACAATTCCTGTCCAGTAACCCAGAAGAATCCAAAGCTTTGAAACAATAAGCTGATTGTGATGCGGGAACAATGGAAACTGAGCTGACAGGAATAGTTTACACAAATCCGCTTATCAGTAAAAGATGGAGATGAGGTGTCTGGAGTCTTTCAAGAGATAATCATGCAAAAAAGAGTTAATATGTATGTGTTTAACCAGCAAATGCATCATGGCTTACAATAAGAGAAAATGCAAGTTTTAAAGACCAATTCTGACACACACACACACACACACACACACACACACACACACACACACACACACACACAGTATGGTGCCCCACGGTGAATTTAATGCGAGTTAAATTATTTTACTCATTATAAATACAGGTCATTTCTGATCGCCTGAAGTTGAGTGCAATAATTTACTTCATCTTTTGTACCAGTTCATGTGTTTACAATTCATATTTAGTTTCCCCTTGAGGCTTATTAATTATCGCTGAGTGTTTACCAGGCAAAGAAGGTCTAATAAAAGATACTATCCACATTATTATGGGAAATGGAAGATCAAGTGATTTTGGAGGATACATTGGCCTCTGCAGCAGGATTTTGACCATTTTTGTTTTTTAATCACCCAACTTTCTAAAAGCGCAATACTAAACCTCCTTTAATATTTAATGGAATGCAGATCGCCCTATAGTATGTGTAACTATTTACAAATGGCTGTAACATCTATTTGTCTGCCAATTTCATTAAACAAGCTCACAGTATGGTCTCACCTGGGAAAATGTTCCTCAGACACATCTACAGATGCAGGGGTGGAGCTGTCGGAAAACACATCGACCAGCAGACTGGCTCCGGCTGAAGGGGTAGAGTTTAGATTCAGCAGGTCTGTCAAAGGGTAGGTGGATTCCTGGGAGAGAAACATCTGCATATGTCATCTCTAATATCTACACACAAAGCACACTCTAAATCTGAATTGAAGTGCATAGTTTTTTAATATATAAATACTAGTTAAATATGGGGCCACAGTACCAAGCTAAATACACAGTTAATTCCACAGAAATATATGAAAGTCTTTCTACATCATGGAGCGTAATTAAAGTCAAACCTCACTTTTTGTGGAAGTAAATATAAACAGTAGCCGTGTTTTTAAATGCGCATTTTGAAGTATCGCATTTGAAGCAAAATTCAAAGAAAAAAATGCTTAATTTGGCAAAATTGTTTTTCGCTCCATTGAGGTGGTTTTTGCCTTTGTCAAAAAAAAGAAAATGCGCTAAACGGGAGATGGAAACACTTTTTCCGAATAAGTTCTGACGTAGCGAACTTGTAACTCACGACTGATCAGCTGTTTCTGCTGTCGCCGTCTTGCCTGGTTATGCGGAGTTCTGCACGCCCGCCAGGAATTTCATGCACCTCGTGGCTGGTAACGCTCATTTGTACTGAGAAAAGAGGTGGATGCAAATCTCGGCAGGTAGCCTTCATCATCTGTTCTGACGAATTATGGATTCACCTCTTAAAGGTCCTTTTCAGATCCTTTGCTCTGCACACTGATCAAACGCGGTTATCACCGCATATTGCCCGCTTGAAACACATTTCTGAGGACTAGGGTTCACTAGGGTCAACCAAGAGCTGGCGTTGTCAGTAGACACACTGCCAACTGTGAGGCAGACTGACTGAAGTCATCAACTGGTCAATGATGATGATGTGAGGGTTTAGCTACAGTTGGCGGTCTCTCTTCTATGGGACCAGGTGTGGTGATGGCCAATGACTAGACCTGTGTGTAGTGTAAGAAGTGTGTAATCACAGATACACAACAGGTTACTCTACAGACCTCCAGCTGGTCCAAACATATACAAACTATACAGCACTGTGTTATAATCACAAACTGTGGGGATGTGTGGAATCATCTAGAGCAAGTCGACAGAACATTAAACATACAATAACATAAAAATCGATTGGTGTAATAATGCAACTATGGTAACGGTGTGTCAAACAGAGAAATTTCCAAAGAATTAAACTACATAATTAGACAATATTGGGGACCAGAGTAGCTAATAAATAATTATGCATTCACTATACTATATGTCGTTTCTAGCTATCAATATATATACCATGCTCCCATCAGAGAGCATGATGGGAGTGGAGGTCGCAGGGCGGGGTCTGTTGGTGGGGAGAAGGTCTGCCATCAGTGAAGGGGAAGACTGACGGAGAAAGAAAAGAACAGGAGAAGAAGGATAGAGGAATGAAGATGGGGAAGGAAGGAGAAAGGACAAGTGAAGGTGAAGATCAAAGAAATGCCAATACAGTTAAATAATGCTAACTTTAGTGATGCAGGCTTGTTTTGCAAATTCTTAGCAACATGCTGATTTGTATGAGAAACTTTACTTGTTAAGAACCAACATTTTTCCTGGGTGGGGGTGGATAAAAGAATCTTTGGTAAAAAAAAAAAAATTTTTAAGCAAAGATTTTATTTTATTTTAAAAACCCTCAAACTAATCACAACACTACTGTGGAGTTACCGTTTTTGTGGCGTCCGTGTTCTCGCTGTGCTCTGAGCTGCCGTTGACATTTCGCCGGTCATCGTCGATGTTGGGCAGGTGGCCTGGGCCCTTCTTCCTCTTCAGCTTGGCCAGGATTGAAGACTCTCTCTCTGGGAATGGAGGCATCTCTTCTAAGACTGTGGCCTGTGGAGGGACAGCGAGAGCGTGGGCAATACAGATGGCACCAATGCACAATTAGCAATGGTGATTTTTAGTTATTTCACAGATCTAGAGTGTGCACATGATGTGTTATGACACCACATAGTGCCGCTAAGGGTGTACTCACACTAGGCAATCTGTACCGTGTCCAAGCATGTTTAACCCCCAAAGTCCGGTTAGTTTGACCAGTGTGAACGCTCCGTGCTGTGCCCAGGCACGGTACGCTTACCTGTGCCCAAGCCCACTGAAGAGGTGGGCCTGAGCACGGTTAAACTGAACTCTGGCACGGTCGCATCAAGTGTAATCGCTAACCGGAACCCCGACACAAACTCCACTGTGCCATGTGAGAGAGAGCGCTTCCAGATTGACTTCCAGCTATATACAGCGTGCTTAGCTCAACAACTCAGCTGTGATCTAATGTTAACTTATCTCTCCTTATTAGCGAGGCTCCTTAAATGCCTGCTAATAATTTTTTTTAAGGTGGGTCTCTGACATTGACAGTTGTTGGACATATTTGTGCAGCGGTGTTCATGACATAGAGAGAGACAGAGAAAGAGAGAGAGAGTGAGCGTGAGTGTGAAACAACGTGCTGCGCGAGTAGTATGTGCAGCACTCCGCAAACAACTACTAACTGAATATATTCAGGAATTAACCAATAAATGTGAAAATAAATGAAAATGCTTGTAATTATTATTATTATTATAATTATATTTAGTCTATGTCTTCTATGTTTTTCTAAATTCATTTTTTCTTTTATTTCTCTTTATATTTCCACATTTATTTTCTTATTCTTTTACAGAGTTCTTATTTTTATGACTCCATACGAGGGCTGTATGTTAATTATCTCCAGCATATCTATCCCCAGAGCTGACAAACGCACTGCTGCACACGTAGGGGAAACTCATTTTTAACACTGGCTTAAAAATCCCTTGATTATGGAATCTAACAATTGTGAATGATGACTGTGACCATCTGTCTTTGTTTCCCAACTTCACAGGAGGTGAATTAATCAGAGCAACATTGCAATATGCTGCTCTGATTATTACTGTGAAGCGACTGTACGATGTGATTGCTCAATCCATCACTGTCATCATCTGAGCTTATTTAAACAGAACGTGACGTGTCTTGTCTGATGATCCATTTACTTACTAGATGACAGCATTTACAATTACCCCGTTAAATATATGGCATGTGCTGTGTGAGACAGTGTCTCTGCTGTTTCTCCCTGAAGGTTTAAGTTTTATAAAAATGTCATGTCTCATTTTTTAATTGATGTTAGCAGGGGAGGTTGTAATTTAAGACGCGACTCGCTATAATACGCTGAGGGATACCGTGACAGTAAAATTGTTTAATGTTCACTGCGGATGTGAACTAATAATATAGTCTTGCTGATACAGGCAGCATGACACAGAATGACAACTGACAATTCCCACTCTGATCCGTATCTGCAGAGCTCTGAAAGACCGCGTGCTATCCTGCATAATTCACTAACCAATATGTCAGTGCTGGCCATGCAGCTGAGCCTCAGGTACTCGACAGCTCTCTGCTGAAGCTCTACGTCAGCGTTGCGCAGCTGGCTGTCTGAGCGCAGGACGTCTTGGATCGTGGCTTTCACTTCTGGAAACAAGTTAATGAACTTGATGTAGGCCGACAGCAACAGCGCCCGAGTTGGCACAGAGCACAGGTGGAACTTGGAGTGGAGAAGGTTGAACTGGACCAGAGGGCTGAAGCAGAAACAGTAACTGTAAATACTCAATAAAAGTAAAACGGTCAGCTCTAGTGAAAATTAACTCAATATTTCCCTCTGATAACAAGCAATACTGGCTTTCACCCCTACTTCTTCTGTACATTTCCTATGGTAAACACTGCACCATGATCGAGTAGCATGTAGCTGCAGTACCGGAGGCTGCAGTTTCAGGACCACTATCCTAGGACCGGAACTGCAATTCCAGGACACTTGTTTACTTTGATACTGCCAGCTAGCTGACTGGTTAGCTATCTAGCTATGTTACTCTTTACAGCCCCCTGAAGCCAATTACCCTTACCACAACCACTACCGAGTGTGTGCCTAAACCTAAGTTATTGATTATATGCATATTGACCTGCTAACCCACAGCTGCACACATCCGCTGTAGCAGACAGGGTTAACCTCCTTCTTGTTGATGTGTATTACCACCACCACTCCACTAGAAAGAACTAGGTTCCTAGAACTGCGGTCCCAGGATTGCGGGGGCCCTGAAACTGCAGCCTCCGATACTGCAGCTTCATACTATTGCCACGATCAGGTTATTAAGACAACATATTGGTGTCTACTGCATTTGATTAAAATTTCGGTTACTTAAGCCTGGTCGTATCCATGCAGATCACACTGGAGACTTTCAGAGCATCTGCATGGGTGAAAACTGCTTTTGTTAATTGGATAAACTAAACCTTCAAAGAACAGAAAACAGGAAAGACCTGAGCTGAAACATCAGCTGAACTCGGGCAAAAATGATATAATTTCCAGAACAGTGGATTGTGCTGTGCAGATGCCGTTTGTACCTGGAGCGTGGATCCCCAGCAATTAGGTTACCAAACTCTCCCAGGATGTAGCCCCCCACCTTAACCAGGTTCTCATGACATGCGGGAGCCTGTAGTGCCTACAAGTGTTCATAAAGATGGCATTAGGTTAGATACAACATAGAAGAAACTAAACAATGCTATCTACCATAAGTAAGCTTTTGAATGGCACAGGTGGTAACCACCCAGCCGACACTGTGCGTGTGGACCTTCAGAAACAAGGACTTCTACATACTTCAATCCGTAGCTTCTTGAGGATTTCTTGGGGGTAAAGTGTAATCAGGCTAACAGGTCTTATTTTTCCTTTATTTTAGGCTGTGAGGGATCATTATTGCTGCTAGGGATGTCTCTGTTTTTTGACCCCACAATCCCATCTGATGCTACTGAGTACTGCTAATAAAGACACTGACTCAATACTTCATAAATTCATATTTTCCCCTGAATATTCAGCTGCACAGTGCACAATTAAGCTGATGATACACAGGGCAACTTTATGAGCAATGTTGCTGGGCAATCTTGCTGGTGGCAAGTCCGACTATGTTCCGAACGGATAGCGGTGGTGCGGGGAGGGTGGTGGAGTGATGGGTGAAGGGGATTACGGTAGTAATCTTTACTCATCACCATTAAAGGCAACATTGCCCTGCACCATTGCTCTAAAAGTTGCTCCGTGTATCATCAGCTGTATTGTTTTTAGCTGCGATTCGCCTGTTACTCATCGCCGCCTCACCAAGCTCCGTGTGTTCTCGCATCTTTAATGAACAAAGTCAGAGCCAAAGCCAACACCTGTCTGATTCCAACACCAACAATCTGGTTGATCACTTCAATCATATCTGCTTGTCCCCACTAAATATTACTGCTCCTCTAAAGGTTAGACCTACGTCTAAAGCTAGTAAGCAACCCTGGATAAATGACAGCATTCGCAGCCTAAAAAGTGAATGCAGGAAAGCAGAGCGCAGATGGAAAAAATCCAGTCTCCAAGTCCATTACCTCAGTCTGAAGGATTTATTAATTAACTACAATAACATGGTTAAGGATGCGAAAACACACTATTTTTCTGAACTCATTATTACACATAAACACAGTCCCAGGTTTCTGTTTAAGACTGTGGATCAGCTGGTAAACCCAACCCCTCCTTGTGCCTCAGCGGGAAGTAATGATGACTGTGAATTGTTTTTATCTTATTTTACCAATAAGGTGGTGTCAATCAGAGCCTCTATTACCCCCGCGGCCTCTTACTCAGAGGTCCCTCACCAGCAACAAGAGAGTTTTAACCAGTTTTATCCCATCGACTTGTCTGAGCTTTTAAAAACAGTATCACAAATGAGAATGTCCTCCGGCCCACTTGATGTAATACCTACAAAGTTTTTACTGAAAGTAATGGATTCTGTTGGGCCCCATTTGATCTCTGTTTTTAACAGCTCCCTATCTACTGGTTGTGTCCCTGATTATTTTAAAACGGCTTGCGTGAACCCACTTTTAAAGAAACCTGGTTTAGATCCCTCTCTCCCACATAATTTCAGACCAATTTCAAAACTGCCTTTTATTGCAAAGATTCTAGAAAGAATTGTGTCCAAACAGCTGCTCACTGTACTGGAAAATAACAAATTATTTGAAAAGTTTCAGTCTGGTTTCAGGAAGTACCACAGCACTGAGCTGTGGTACTTCTGACCTTTTAATGTCTGCTGATGAAGGCATGTGCTCAGTCCTGGTACTCCTGGACCTTAGCGCTGCTTTTGACACCACTGATCACAACATCATGTTAGACAGACTGAGGCACTGGGTGGGGATCTCTGGTACTGCCCTAGAATGGTTTTCATCCTACCTGTCAAATAGGAAGTTTTGCGTGCCTGTAAACAACTATGTCTCCTCGTTCTGTCCAGTTAAATATGGTGTGCCTCAGGGGTCTGTCTTAGTAATTTAAATTTCGAGCAGCACACCACAAAGCTTGTTCAATCATGTTTTTATCAACTTAGAAATATAGCTAAAATTCGATCTATGTTAACTTTTAAGGACAACGAGAACATTTTACACGCCTTCATCTCATCACGCATGGATTATTGCAACAGCCTTTTCACCTGTTTAACCCAAAAATCTACTGATCAACTCCAGACTGTCCAGAACTCAGCTGCCAGGCTTTGACAATGAAATATGACCACATTACTCCTATTTTAGCTTCATTACACTGGCTCCCAGTATGTTTTAGAATTGACTTCATGGCCTCTCGCCTTGTTATATTTCTGAACTTTTAGTCCCATACACACCAGCACGTACCTTGAGATCCTCGGGCAGAGGTCTGTATGTTCCAGAGTCTCAACTGAAAACTGAAGGGGACAGAGCGTTTGCTGTCAGGGCCCCGAGGCTCTGCCCGAGGAAATCAGGTCGGCTGAGTCAGTGAACTCTTAAGTCCCTTCTTAAAACATACTTTTATAGGAGAGCCTTTCCTGATCTTATTTGACTTTATTTTATCCCTTTTATTTTATTCTATTTTACTAATTTAATATTTATCTTAAACGTGTATTTTAGTCTTTTCAATGTTTTCATGCTTTTATCTTGTATTGTTTTTGTATTATTGTCTTTTGGGTATTATTGACTTTACACTTGTTAAAGCACTTTGTAACTTGTTTTTGAAAAGTGCTCTGCAAATAAAGATTATTATTATTATTATTATTCATAGTTTCTGCAGAGTACAGCCTGTTGGTCTGGGCACGACGGAGGGATTTAAAAAGAAATTTAATTTTTTAAACGTGCAACTAACAACAACAACAACTAAAGGCCCATGTGAGGCTTGGGGATGATTGCTGAAATGTGCATGCCATTTTCCCTCATGGACAGGTTTGCCAGGAAAGGTAACCTTATAAAGGTAACCTGATGAGGCAGACACTGAAAGTCAAGCTGATCTGTGATGGCATAAAATCTTCATGCCCACCTCAAAGACGGTCTTGGCAGCGTAGCCTTGGACATCATCTCGGTTTATGACAATTTGGATGACACGATACCACACCTCCTCACTGACATAGTCACCGGCGATGCGGATGAGGTTGAGTATGGTATCCACGTACCAGGTGTAGTCCACGGCATATTTTTCTGCCAGGATAGCCACCTTGAGCACCTGGGGAAGAGAAGCAACTGGCTGAGAACGAGAGCAGCACACAAAAGAACTCAATGGTGTACAGGTCTGCACTAATGATGACCCACTATCTCCTCTCTGATGGAGTAGTCGGCGGTCTCTAGGTATCTCAGCATCTCTGCCACAATCTGCTTGGCATTGCTGCGGTCACACATGGCATAGAGCAGATCCACAGCGCGCTGGCGAACACTCACATCTCGCTCTGTCTGTCAAGAAAATAAACACAAAAATTATGAAATGACAGACGTCTCTGGCAGATTTCATCAGCTGTAGCTACTTAAATTCCACTGTAGCTAATCAATTTGACCAAACCACACATCAAAATACAGGTTGTTGCATGTTAGGGTGTGTTACGCTCAGCCAATTAGAGTCCGAGCTATATTCCCTCTCTTTCAGGGGACCACAGCAGTGCTCGGTCCATTCCTTATTTCTGATTATTATAACCATCAAATCAAACTGTCCCTTTTCCATGATTATAGTGGGTATGATTACAGACTACACAATTATTTAGAGGCATTGGAAAGTAACTAACTCCCAGTCCTAGTCATTTCTGCAAAAACAATCAAAACATAAATGTAAAAAAAGGATTAATGTTGCCTACACTTTGCATTTTTGGTTCTGACAGATGGCTGAGATATTTCAGGCTCTAAAGCGATGCAACCGATCACCCCTTGCGTTATTGTATTTGTTAGTAAGCTGAAAGCGCACTTATTAATAACCCAGAGAAATCAATGCCCCTTCTTTTAATCTAAGTGCATTTTATTTGTTCACCAATAGCTTCATATCTCCTTTGCACATGCATCACTGTTGTGGTTGCCTGCCAGAGGCGGTCATAAATTGAGTCTTTATCCAGTTTTAAGCCACATTTTTACAATAACCCTTGTAGATCTTGGTTGTTCATCCCCTGCTATTTCACAATGTCAAACTACATATTTTGTTATTGTGTTGATGTGAGAGACCCCAGCAGAAAATTACATACTGTGCGTTTTAAAGTTCATTATTGGTGTGACTCACCTTTAGAGCGCTGATCACAGTTTCTATATGCGTCTTTACTGCCTCATGAGAAAACTCAGAGCTGGCCAGTGTGCACATGCTCTCCAAAGCCAAGTAACGGAGGTTGGTTTCCCTGTGCTGCAGAAACTGGCCTAGCTGGTTGCAGGCTCGTACCAAGAGGGTGGGCTCGCTGAGAGACAAGAGACAACAACTAGCTGTAGTGTCCAAGTACTAACACACATTTCAATATTAAAAAAAAAACAATATCCAGAAAGTGTTACACAGCACAGGAATGTGAACTAAAGACAGCTGGGTTTACCCTGTGACCTTGATGTGGAGTTTGAAGATAAAGTATAACTTAGTTTGTGTTACAGTCCTGTGTCTGCTAGTTAGACTGACAACTAACATCTATTACAACATGCCTATCCAGTGACTCCAGGAACAAATGGTACTATGAGTCTTTTTGCTTAATTATCAAGGAATGTGCGAAATACTGACATTTTCAAATGTCTATTTCTCAACTTAAATAAAGTCAAACAATATTTATAACAATAACTAGTAAAACAGATGTAAAACAGAACAAGGGGAGCATGTTGCTCTACAGAGGAAGCAATTAGAAGTAGCACATATTGGCACACTGGCACTGTTTGCATCTGTCTAATGTGATGTAATGTGAATCTCTGTGATTGGTCGGTTGACGAAAAGTGACTGACAAAAAGTTGAACATGTTGAACAACTAAATGCAAATGATACAGCTAACGTTAAATGGTCAGCGAGCCAAACTCAAACCTTCCTTATCTTCTGTCTTATGCTGCGTTCCAGGCAACTCGTAACTGGGAAATTTCCGACCTCCAACTAGAAAAACTATCCTGGAACGCCACCTGAAGTCTGATTTCCTACTTGTGAACTCGGAGAAAAAATATGTACCCCTCCCTCCGTTACCTATAACCTGCCTACATAACATGTAGCATCTGCTACGTGTGGCCGCACGTGAGAGAGGACAACAAACACCGGCAGCTGCTGTGACATTCATTATAAACTTTGGCTTTAAAACTTCATACAACAGGACCAAAACAAAGAAGCGCTGAACGCAAATAGGTTAGTAACCTGTGTTGAGTAAACACCACCAGCTCAGCATTGGCCATCTAACGTTAGCTTGCTTCTTGCTTCAGCTACGACCTACAGGAGGTTTACGCCGACTGTCGTTCGTTATGAAAAGATGAATGAGCATTTGTTTACTTGCCAAACTTGTGGTGGTCGGTTAACGTAATCATTTACGTCCCGCTGGCTGCCATCATGTTAATTATCGCCGTTGGCTGGAAAGAGGTTACAGGTTTACTGTTGATCATGTAGCATAACCTTACCTTACCTAGTTTTATTTAGTTATAACATTACACTGGTTTGAGAGTCTGCAGGGTGTGTTGACTTACAGTAGTTTAAGCTGTCATTGATTACATTGCACATTATGGTTGTGCTCTGTAAGTTAAAAACAGGTTTATTGTTGATTATGCAACGTCACAGTTTTATTTAGTTAACGTTACACTGGGTTTAAGAGTCTGGGGAGTGTGTTGACTTACAGTATTTAATAAGCTGTCAATTGCATTACACATTACATGGTTGTGCTCTGTAAATGAAAAACAGGTTACAGTTACAAAATTCCTTATAGCCATGCAGTTTTATTAGCAACCTGGATTGAACGCAGCAGGTGATGCAGCATTCGTAAAAACCACGAGAGACTTGAGACTTGACTTGGAGTCTAGCTCAAAGACTTGTGAGCATCTCTGGTGTAACCTACAACATTACCAACTGATGTAGCTAGAACTAGGCTATTCAGTTGTTGCAGTTAAACTGCCATCCTTTTAATTAACACCTAAAACACTGCTGAGGGTGCAACTGTGTGTACACTTTGTCACGGTCACCCATGGTTTTCGTTCACTTGCGGCGTCATGCACCACCAAGCACCTGGAATGCTTTGATGTCGGAAAACGGAAGTTTCAACTGGGAAATATTCCACTTCCGACCGGTCTCAAACGCGGCATTACTGCTTCAGCTGCAGCCAACGTCTCTCTGTCTTCGTCACAGAGCGACCGAAGCACCGGCATTTCTCTCAGTGCTCTTGTGGCGAGTTAATGTTTTGAACGATTAGTGGCGGGGGGGGTTACAGTAGGTTTTTGTCATAAAAGTGACTCGCACACTGCTCATAAATCATTTCTTACATTGCACACAGGCTTATCAGTTTTTAGGGGCACATGCAAGAACCCGGTGTGGGTGGAGTTAATGAGCAAACTGCAGCACACACACAGAAGACAGCGTCACACACACCTTTTCTGTTTTATAAAATCGCACACTTTTTGCGGTTATGTAATCGTACATACGATTAATTATGCAGCCCTAAAATGAAGTGAATCCAGATTTCATCTTCCAGAACACACCTCTGTAATTTCATGATATTCCATAAAGTCTATGACCAGCAGAAAGCTTGTCACAGTGAATATGCCGAACCTGTCATGGTGGATGATGAGGGAGATGGCTTCAAATAGAACAGCGTTCTTTGCGTTGGAGTGCTGGACCTTCTTGGACTTGGGCGGCTCCTGGGCTTTATTGAGGATAGTCTCCAGACACTCTGTCAGGCGACTTCGCAGCGCTGCATCCTCTGCAACAACAAATGCTATGTTCTTAACACCTCCTAGCCTTTACTTTAACTCTTGTCAAGCTAATTGCTTTGCCCAAAAATTCTTAGTATAAGGGTTTCATTATTCATATATATTAACAATGAATCAAATCATGCCACTGGGCCCATGTTGCTGGTTCTCTGATGGATGTCTAGATAAACACACACAATGTTTTTGGCACCTCATTATCCAAAAGAGTTGAATAAACTTGTACATTATATCATTGCTATTTGCTTTTTTCTTTTTTCTACTCTACTGCCATCTGGTGTCAAAAATCACCTAATGCAACTTTATTCTATTATTATCTTAGGATGGCTCCAACAATGAAAATTACCTGGTTTTACACTTTTTGTAGCCATTCCTGGCAAGGAAAACCCTATTCAAACATTTTGGCAAATGTTTTTGAGGGTGAGATGAGAAGATCCTCATCAACCTTATATCTGTGTGAGGCGAGGGGTTACCTTTTCCATCCACACATTATTTCTGTCCAGCTTTGGTCAAATAAGAGTCAGTGAGCAGAGTTGAAAAGCATCTGAACACAAGTGTTTAGGACAAAAGGAGACTGGATTCTAAACCATGTGTGGCAAACAGTAGAGAGACAAATAATACAGTTACCATCATGGATCATAGATGTGTTCTAAAACTTGTGATAATGAATTAAAGAGGTCTACTGTTGTGTTTCTGTGATTTCCATCCAATAAAGTGAGTGACAAATCTGGCTAAACTAGGCTATACACATCCTTAACACATCTGTACTTCACACATGCGATTCAGTTAGAGCTTCTCATCTCACCTCTCATGTTATTAGTCTGTATTTGAGGATTTCTGGGAAAGGTTAGTATTCAAGCTGGAATTGTGCTTCTCCGAAAAGACACGTAAATGTCTCTGCAAACTTACAGAGAGAACGGCGTTATGGGTAACTCTAGGTCACGGAGGAGCCAACGCGCACGCCTCCCAAATGTCAATTGACCCTTCGCTAAGCCCATCTTAGCCAGTGTTGCTAAGTCTGATAAACTTAACATTGTTCCTGTACAGCTGGGTAGGTCTCTATACACTATTACAATCATTAAAAAGCAGAACAGTAGGGCTTTATAACGTTACATTCAGAAGTACCGGATACCGTTAGCTAACTAACATTACATTAGTTCCACAGCTGACATTTTTCTGGATTTGTTTTAGGTTTTGGAAAGAGAATAAATCGTACTTCTTTCAACCTCTCTGGGTAGCGACTGTAACTATTACAAGTTCCCCAGGAACAGAGTTTGACCATATCTTGAAAAAATACAGCAAAAGAAAGCTAGAAAACGACTCATTTTGTATTAGAGTCAATGGAGCGCAGCGGGCCGGATTCGGGTGTACTCACTTTTGTGAGATACTGCACAAATATACAAGAAACACACAAACATGCAAGGGGTTGCTCGTATATACGTGCAGCCCAGAGAAGCATAATTCTGGCTTAACTGTCAATCCAGGGAGTTCCACAAGAGCTTGCTGTCCCACTATGCAGCCGACTATTGCACTGGTTTTGGCAAGCTTAAGGGTAATTCTAGAGGAAAGGTAATGGGATTACCAAAGTCAATAGCTGTAAATGTGGCCATTAGTTACCTTGTGGAGAAACCTGATAATTTGACTTGGCAGTAGACGCAAGGGCAAATGCAAGAAATGACAAAAACTGGAATAAACAAATCTGGAATGATCATCTGAATACCCATACTAACGTCGACTGTACCATGTACTGTACCATACCAGGTGGAGGGTAGCACTGTAGAAGACGCAGCAATTTCACAGACAACCATGGTGCAGCGACAAAGTAGTACGTATAGTCTTGAAGGTCGATGGATGCAGAAGTCACAATCTGGACAAGCAAGACCAAGACGACACGTCGACAGATGTTAAAATAAGACTCCATCTTTGACCTCAGTGGGATGAAGATAATGTGAAGTTACAGAAAGACACACACCCTACTGAGCCTGGCCACAGCCAGCGAGATGGATGTTTTGAAATCGTTAGGACTCTTCTGGGCCAGAGTGGTAATAAGGCTGGTGGCTGCTGTTACCACTCCCTGAAAACCAGACAGACACACCTTTATACAAGACACACTGACACAACATTTCAGCAACATGGGTCTAGTATTCAATATAAAGGATAAAGGATCATATGGAGCAGATTTTTTTTCCCCAGCAACTCACCATATTTAGTGTGCATACTGTCTGCTTTGAGTATACTTAATTTTGTCACTTTTCTAGTGTGAACACAAAAACCTACATGCAATCAGTATGTAGTTTGGAATTGGGACACAGGTACAGTCCTACCAGGTGCTGATCATTAAGCAGATGGACCACTCGTGCTGTCCAGTCACCCATGGGCACCAGGTCAGGCGATGTCCTATTGAGTCGTAGCAGGCAAAGTGCTGCACTCTGCTTCACGCTGTCCATGGTGTCCCTGATAGAGGATAGCAGAGTTTCATGCAAAGTGACATGGCGACAGCAAACACACCTTGATCTGCGACTCTGTCAGAAATACAACACAGCTTTTTAAGATCTCCACAAAGAAAATGAAAGTAAATTTACCCTTTTCACACCGAATGAATGCACATTAGGCCTGGGCACCAATCACTATATTAACATGGATATTTTTCCAATATTGTATGCGTCTCCATATAACAAACATATTATGTAAAATCAAAAACAAAGTGTAATGATCAATGTTTAATGCAATGAATTGTGTACAACTTATTCATTACATAAAACAAAACCATTTATACACCTAAAACAAAATCGTACATAAGTAATTTCATTTTGTTTGTTTATTGCTTTTAATTACAATTTCCGTGAACTCCTTCATTAGGACAACATTACTACTATATAAGAGCCAATTACAGAATGTAAATGCCCACTATAAACAGAAACTAAGTCTGAAATAATGAAACTCTTGCTGATTTTAATGCCAGGCCTTTTCCAACCCTTCCTGACATTTCATCGGGGTAAAATTGGAGGAAGAATATTTCCTTTATTGACATTTTGTGAAAACCAGACCAGGCGTGTAATTGAGACTTGCCTTTTTTAGTCAAAATGTATGGCCATACCAGGCCAGTAAAAGGGAAACGTGTCTAATTCAAACTGGGCTTTAATTAAAGTTTTATGGTACTTCATTTTGAGACAAAAAACAGGAATTCATACTGGAAATTATTTTATCTTATTTTGTCAGATGCTCATTAAAAGAAATCAAGAGCTACTAGTGTCAAAGATTGACATTAAACCAGTTCAAAGTTTTTCCTTCTGACTGACAATAACAACTTAGCTTTCTGTTTGAGACTTAGAGCCAGTTAAAATCTCTATGCATTAATGATTATGTACAAACCCTGCCACCAAGATGCTGGGAATTTCAGAAGCAAAAGCCTCAGCCATTTCTCTGCTGCCCACGTTTGCAATGCAGTGCAGGGCCAGGTTCATGAAAGTCGGGTTGCGGCTGGCCAGGTCATTCCTGATGCCATTGTTGATTAAACGGATCAGGTCGCTGTTGGAGTTCACCAGCACTGAGATGAACAGGTACCCCTGACAGGGGACATGAGAAAAAAATGTTACCATTAAAAAATCCACCATATAAAAAGGAGAAATAATACATGTCAAGTTGTTTGTACACCTCTGAGTCTCCACCCCTTCACACAAGCATATTTGGTTGATAAATGACCAACAAGCTCTCAACTTCAGACACTGGATGAACATGAGGACAAACTTACAATTTGTTTCTCTGTGTACTTGTTGGAGCTGAGGAGATTGACAGCCTCCATGTGTCCAAAGTCGATATCATGGCCAAGAAGAAAGATAAAGAGCAGCTTGCAGACATACTTTTTTTTACTGTAGCCATCTAGAGCCTTGTCTCCTATCCACACACGTGCAAATACACAGACACACACCCACACACACAAAGATGGAAGTGAATGTCTACATGACGTTACAGACACAAGGATTTCAATGGTCTGACTTTACACTGTGAGTACGGTAGGTGATAAACAATGCATTCCATCATTTAATGCCAAACTTGTGAGTTTTTATCGTAATTTTTATTTGCAAATTATCCATGGGACGAATGAACAAAATATTGATTAGGATATTCAGAGTCGGTTCAGGCACTATAGGAAGAGGAGGCATCAGAGCATTTGATGTATTGATTGCTGTCAAATAAAACATGCCTACCCTAGCTTTAAGGCACACTCATTCATAGGGAGATGTGTCAACTTTTAACAATGCAGACACAGCAACAGCCACTGAAAAACTGTGAAGCTGAACAGAGTGGGCAAAGTGGATTCACAAATTTGTGTCAAGGAAGGCAAAGGTTTCTATTTCAATCATAAAATAAAACAGGTGCTTGGAATCAGTCTTTGGATGGAATGAGAACCTGTCGACTTGTTGCCCTCCATCTACCTGCTCCTCTATCTCTGAAGGTTGGCCTGGTTTGTCAGAAATGTTCACCTACCTTTAAATTTGGAACGGATATTGGCCAGTTCTTTGTTTATCCTCTTAATCTCTGCCTCTTTACTTTTACCTGCAAACAGATCAAGACGATTTGCATGTTACATAATGCTGCAATCACTCAGAACTTGGAATAAAACATTCTTCCTCCTTGTTTACACTGCTTTGCCGAGAGGAATAAGCTACACTTGCTGTGTTCATCATAATGAAAGAATATGTCACTTACTGCAATTATGGCTCTTGTATGTATTTTTAGGACAGTGAAGCTCAGTCATACAGACATATTAGCTACACTCAGTAGCCACTTCATTAGTTCCATCTCTTTAGTACTGGGTAGGATCCCATTATGCTGTAAGCCACTAGAAGATGGCTCGACTGTGGCCTAGGGCTGGGCAATAAAACAATAATGATAAATATTGAGATATAATTTTCCTTAATAACAATATAACAAATGTTCAATAAATGCTCAATAAATGTTTGATTTAATTCATTTGAATCACAAATGAATTAGCACTTAATTTTTCTATTAAGATGTTTATTTTGTTGAGGAAAAGGGACTGAAAAAAAGATTTCACTTAATTTACCTCATGCATATTTTATATGTTTTGAATGACAAATGTTTGTCATGTTCTGACCGTAAAGAAGAGTTTCAAACCACAATTAACCATCTGGTTTCACTCAGAAGTAAAAATCAGCCATTAAACTTGAAAGAAATAATTTGACATTCATCGTGATAATTATCAATATCGAATAGCCTAATATGACATTTTTTATCGTGATAACAATTTAGGCTATATCGCCCAGCCCTACTGTGGCCATGGTCTGCAATAACGCTGTGGCATTTAAATTATGCTCGATTGGTATACTATATCCCCCGCACCCTTACACCACTTCCACCAGCCTGAACCACTGACACAAGGCAGGATGCATCCATGGATTCTTTTTTGTTTATGCCAAATTATGACCCTACCATCTGCACACTGCAGAAGATAGCAAGATTTGTCAGACCAGATCAAGTTGTTCCAAATTTTCTACTGTCCAGTTCGGTGATCTTGTGCCTATTGTAGCCTCGGTTTCCTGTTCTTAGCGGACGGGAGTAGAACCTGGTGTGGTCTTCTACTGCTGTAACCTTCAAACTTCAACGTGTTGTGTGATCCACTGTTGTAACAAGTGGTTATTTGAGTTACTGTCACACTCCCGTGAGCTTGAACCAGTCTGTCCATTCTCCTCAGACCTCTCTCATTAACAAGTCATTTTGGCCCACTGTTTTTTTGTGTTTTGCACCATTCTCTGTAAATTCTAGCGACTGTTGTGCTTGAAAATCCAACAAGATAAGTAGTTCTGGATATTCAAACATCGACAACCAGTTCCTCTCATGGTCTCCAGCTGGACACTTGGAAAGTATCTCCTGAACAACAAGTTCAACATACCCAGGATATCTTTCCATTATCTGGCTTCACTAACCCTAACAATCGTGATCTGGTTTACCACTCACACGCCACTGGTAATCAAGTCGGTAATAATAATCTTTATTTGTAGAGCACTTTTCAAAAACAAGTTACAAAGTGCTTTAACAAGTGTAAAGACAATAATACCCAAGAGACAATAATACAAAAACAATACAAGATAAAAGCATGAAAACATTGAAAAGACTAAAATACACATTTAAGATAAATATAAAATTAGTAAAAAACAATAAAATAAAAGGGATAAAATGAAGTCAAATAAGATCGGGAAAGGCTCTCCTATAAAAGTATGTTTTAAGAAGGGACTTAAAAGAGTTCACTGACTCAGCCGACCTGATTTCCTCAGGCAGGCTGTTCCAGAGCCTCGGGGCCCTGACAGCAAACGCTCTGTCCCCTTTAGTTTTCAGTCGAGACTCTGGAACAGACAGCAGACCTCTGCCCGAGGATCTCAAGGTACGTGCTGGTGCGTATGGGACTAAAAGTTCAGAAATATAACAAGGCGAGAGGAGAGTTCTGGACAGTCTGGAGTCGATCAATAGATTTTTGGGTTAAACAGGTGAAAAGGCTGTTGCAATAATCCAGGCGTGATGAGATGAAGGCGTGTAACTCAGCATTCCAGGGTCTGTGGATCTGACGGGCAAGTATATTTGTGTGTCATCAGCATAAATATGACAAGAAATGCCATGTTTATGGATAATGTGTCCAAGGGGAAGCAGATACAAGGAAAACAAAATGGGTCCTAAGACAGACCCCTGAGGCACACCATATTTAACTGGACAGAACGATGAGACATAGTTGTTTACAGACACGCAAAACTTCCTATTTGACAGGTAGGATGAAAACCATTCTAGGGCAGTACCAGAGATCCCCACCCAGTGCCTCAGTCTGTCTAACATGATGTTGTGATCAATGGTGTCAAAAGCAGCGCTAAGGTCCAGGAGTACCAGGACTGAGCACATGCCTTCATCAGCAGACATTAAAAGGTCATTGGTGACTTTAAGCAGGGCAGTCTCAGTGCTGTGGTACTTCCTGAAACCAGATTGAAACTTTTCAAATATTTTGTTATTTTCCAGTAAGTAAACCCAACTTTCCCAATCCAGATATGAGCGTGCTCACATGAAAGGAGCCGGTGTTTGCAGCAGATGACGAATCGCTGGACATGGGTAAGTCTACTGGCAGCAGAGCGTTATATTTTACAAACATAAAGAAAACTGTAATATTAGACAAATAAAAAGAAGTTAAACACATAATCCAGGCTAAAAGCAACACAGCTGCAGCTGACAAATGCAAGAAAAAGGAAAATCACCCTGTGTGAATGTGAAAGTCAACAGGCTTAACGTTATAATATCACTACCATTCATTAGATAATGCCCGTAGATTTGACTGTAATTACATTTGTGTTCTCCATTAAATTAATCTGTTTCTTGGATGTATTCTTATGCCGTGTATGACAATTTTAGCCTTTTATCTGCAGCGGCTGTATGTCGTTTTCTTACATTAACGTTCAGCATTAGTTACCATGGTGATGTACCCAGGTAAAAAGTAAACTACCGTCGTAGGACTGAAACATCGGGTTAACGTTACACCTTGAGTTACCTGCAAACCTCAAATCCTGCTTTGTAGTAACTTACAGGCCCCCACCTTTAAACTCTACATTAGTTCGGCGGTTTAAGGCCACTGTACATTACCACAGACTGTAACTTCTGTGCATGTCCTGTTGACGTGATCTGAAATATTCATCACAAAGTAACTTAAGTGAAACTAGTCAAACTGTCAGTTGCAAAGTTTTACCAAAAATGATGAATTGTGTTTACCTCGTTGGATTAATGGCAGGGGACTATTTACAAACTAACTTTATGACTCCCTGTAGTCTGCCAGTTTGGAGTTTTCTCCAGTTAAATTAGCTGGGTGGTCCACGCCCTTCGACGTGACGTTTTCAACTGAAAGCTAGCGGCTAACGTTAATTAGCTAGTGTAGGCCAGCTGAGGGGTTGTCTAAAAACCACGCTGATACGTTAAAGTTAACTAAATTGTGGGTGGAAAGGGCAAGAGAGACACTCCTTTGCATGTTCTCAAAATCACATCGCTAATGTTGATCCTTGTCACACCAGATAGCTTGTTGCTAGCATAACCAAGAACTGTTTATGAATGCGATCAACAAACTTACAGTTCCTGATGTCAGAGATGAACACGGCCAGGCCACGCATCCCATCCCCTTTAGAGACTGCAGGCATTTTGTTCACGCCTTGTTAATGTGACGGTTTCTCTTCTGTATTCAAAATATAGCGTAACTATATAGGGTTACTTAGTTTCAAAGTTTGCTAACAAGCAAGCGTGTATGGTACAGGGAGCCCCGATATGTGACGGGGACAGTAACAGACAAGCTGCGGCTGCGTTCAATACATCCAGAGCTACACTACAACCTAAAGGAGGGCTGCGTTCCAAACATGTGAGTAACAACCAACAACAACAGTCTGCTTTCCTCCTTCTTCTTCTTTTCCAGCAGACTAGGCAACATTTAGTGTATTGCTGCCTCCCATTGGAGTAGTATCGACATTACTACTTTTGCCATCTGAGAGATAAACCTTGCGAGATGTGGTTTTAAGGAAGTGTGCTACTTCCTTATGTCTCCACTTTATGAAGTACCCCATCGTCCAGCAGTGTTGTAAGGGGAAATATTTGAATTCCCAGTGTGTGCCTAATTCTATGAATAAAACCCTCCTTTCCTATGGAATCAATATAGAGACAATAGTAGCCTATTGTAGCTGGGGCATCACCATGAATGTGTGAAAACATTTTATATTTGTATATTCAAATACTTATAACTAACACAACTTGTGAATACAAAAGAACACTGTAGAGTCCTGCTCATTATGGGTTATATATTCCTGCTGTATGCCACGCCTCTTTCAAACGTCACGGCTGCCAAAGGTTTCCATGAAGGATGCACCTGTGTTTCCTCGATCAGAGCTCCTGCGGCAAACCTCCTCGATCCTCAAGGTGCATTTTAGGAATTGAAATGTCCTTCAAGATGGCGCACTGAGATCAATTTCCAGGTGACAGGAAGGAGGACGGAGGATCGAGGAGGCACAAAATAGGGAAATGAGAAAGGCCCCAGGTTTTTCATGCCGTCTGCCAAGGGATGACGTTATCTTTATACATCCATGGTAATGTTACATTGCCTGTGGGCCAGACACTCAAATTAGATCATTAATCAATCAAATCAGATAAACTCCTGATAAATAGGCTAAAGTTAACTGGAATAAACCTGGGGAGCAAAACATTGGTCAAACAAATGAGTCTGTTCATAATAGTTTTGCTAGCTATGAAGAGAACGTTCTTCCCCTGTAATGATTTCCAGAGATGGCTAGATTGGTGATGTCAGTGGTATGTTGCTAAGCAATGAACGTGACATATTATAAAACTTTGCTATTTAAGTAACAGGGGGTTTGGGGCCCAAACGCAGACATGGAGACGGGTACAGTTAGTGACATTTAACTACAGATGGTGTGTGAGTCAGGCAGTCCAAAAGCAAAATCAAAGTAAACCAGTGTGTCCATAAGTACAAAAGAAAGGTTAGTCCAAACAACAAGGGGAAACAACGGCGGAAATCCAATAAACACGGGTATAACTCTGGAGACCCACTGAAAAAGTCAGTCCTGACAAATGCTGAACAATGAATCAGCAACTACCACCACGAAGACAACCACTACACACACACACACACACACACACACACACACACACACACACACACACACACACACACACACACACACACACACACACACAGCAGGTAAATATACCTAAGGCTGGGCAATATGGCCAAAGTTTTATCACAATAAAAACATTTCATACCATTTGATATCATTAATTATCACGATAAATGACAAATCATTATTTCAAGTTTAAAGGCAGATTTTAAAGGCAGTGAAAGTTGAAGAAATCAGATGGTTAGCTGTGGTTTTAACCAATCCTTATGTCTAAAACATGACAAACACTTGATGCCTAACTGTGGATCACTCACAAATCTGAGGTACAATATTCAAAGTGATTCTGATAAAACCTTTTTTTCAACAAAGATGATTAGTAAATCTTTTTCCTCAACAAAATTAATATCTTAATAGAACAATTAAGTGCAAATTCATTTGTAATTCAGATGAATGAAATCAAACATTTATTGATGAAATATTGAATATTTGTTATTGTTATTGAGAAAAATTATATTGCAACCAACGGGTAGGTCTATGGATCTGTTTTTTTATGTTTGTCCTTACCCTTGTTTTTTTAAACACACCTATTCCCCTTAGTTCATCAGAATCAGCTTTATTGCCAGGTATGTGTACACATAAAAAGAATTTGACTTAGCATGTTCACGATGTGCATACTTGTAAAATAATACAATAATAAAATCAGACACAGGCTACAGTATAGAGAAACACATATATACACACTATAAACAAAAACAATATACAGATTAAGACATAGTGCAAAGGATGCAGGAGTAAATTATCGTTACCATCAATCCATTCATCACCAACTTATCCTGCATACAGGGTCGCAAGGATCATTACCATTATTATTATGTACATGTCGGAAATGGATGAATGATACAGGTACACATTCACATACATGTACACATACACACAAATTGCAATGGAGCATAGTACAAAGGATGCTGGAATAAATAAGTATTATTTGCAGGTGTTACGTACTCGAGGTAGGTGGATTTGGTATATAGTATATACAATATACAAAATGACAATATGAACAGTATGAACATCTCTGAAATAGAGAATGATGACTAAACAATAAGTGGTAACCAGTAAACAGGTGGCTGATTGGAGACAGAGTTACTGGGTTATTGCACACTGTAATGACTGTGTTGATAGTGAAGTTGTTGGGCTCCCACTTCAGGTCCTGGGAGATAGTGGAATCCAGAAACCTGAAGGATTCCACAGCAGACATACTGGCTTTCTTTAATTTCGAAAAACCTTTGAATATATTGAGGAAGTATATTATTTTGTGCTTTATATATTATCTGTTTAATTTTATAATCAATAAATCAAAACATTTTAAAGCCTGTAAGTTAATAAATGGTGCATTGGTTAGTTCATAATAATCAGGTCGATTTTTGGGATTAGTGTTGCTTTTATATGTGATTCCCCACACCTCCACACACTAGGTAATGTATAGATCAATAAGAGAACAATACAGTATATATAGTGTTTTCTGATTCAAGAGATCCTTAGTTTTATATAATAATGCAAGGTTTTAGACATTTTTGTTTTTATACACATTATTAATGTGTGGTTTCCAGCATAATTTAAGATCAGTTATCACACCCAGAAAATCTCTTTATTCCAGCATCACTGATCATAGATTTATCTTGACTACTGAATTGCCAATAACCAAATATTATAAAAGCAGTTTAATAAATTCAGTGATAACTTGTTAATATCAAACCATGTCTTTCAGCACTTTCAGTTCCGTTTCCAGTGCATTCAGTTGCTGTTCCAAACTTTTCCCAGAGCTTATATTGCTCTCGGAAAAATAAATTTGTCATCAGCAAATATAAAATTTTACAATTTAGACACTTTACAAATGTCATTTATATAGTAGAAACAGTTGTGGGCCAAGCACTGAACATTGTGGAACCCCTCGAGCAACCTTCAACAAATCAGATTTGACATTATTTAATCTGATTAAATTTGATCATGATGAACAAAGATCTTAGTAAATCCAAAGCCCAGAAAATCCTAATGCATCTTCTGCACGCATAGACATATTGTGCTGTATATACACTCACCTAAAGGATTATTAGGAACACCATACTAATACTGTGTTTGACCCCCTTTCGCCTTCAGAACTGCCTTAATTCCACGTGGCATTGATTCAACAAGGTGCTGAAAGCATTCTTTAGAAATGTTGGCCCATATTGATAGGATAGCATCTTGCAGTTGATGGAGATTTGTGGGATGCACATCCAGGGCACGAAGCTCCCGTTCCACCACATCCCAAAGATGCTCTATTGGGTTGACATCTGGTGACTGTGGGGGCCATTTTAGTACAGTGAACTCATTGTCATGTTCAAGAAACCAATTTGAAATGATTGGAGCTTTGTGACATGGTGCATTATCCTGCTGGAAGTAGCCATCAGAGGATGGGTACATGGTGGCCATAAAGGGATGGACATGGTCAGAAACAATGCTCAGGTAGGCCGTGGCATTTAAACCATGCCCAGTTGGCACTAAGGGGCCTAAAGTGTGCCAAGAAAACATCCCCCACACCATTACACCTCCACCACCAGCAGCCTGCACAGAGGTAACAAGGCATGATGGATCCATGTTCTCATTCTGTTTACGCCAAATTCTGACTCTACCATCTGAATGTCTCAACAGAAATCGAGACTCATCAGACCAGGCAACATTTTTCCAGTCTTCAACTGTCCAATTTTGGTGAGCTCTTGCAAATTGTAGCCTCTTTTTCCTATTTGTAGTGGAGATGAGTGGTACCCGGTGGGGTCTTCTGCTGTTGTAGCTCATCCGCCTCAAGGTTGTGCATGTTGTGGCTTCACAAATGCTTTGCTGCATACCTCGGTTGTAACGAGTGGTTATTTCAGTCAAAGTTGCTCTTCTATCAGCTTGAATCAGTCGGCCCATTCTCCTCTGACCTCTAGCATCAACGAGGCATTTTCGCTCCCAGGACTGCCGCATACTGGATGTTTTTCCCTTTTCACACCATTCTTTGTAAACCCTAGAAATGGTTGTGCGTGAAAATCCCAGTAACTGAGCAGATTGTGAAATACTCAGACCGGCCCGTCTGGCACCAACAACCATGCCACGCTCAAAATTGCTTAAATCACCTTTCTTTCCCATTCTGACATTCAGTTTGGAGTTCAGGAGATTGTCTTGACCAGGACCACACCCCTAAATGCATTGAAGCAACTGCCATGTGATTGGTTGATTAGATAATTGCATTAATGAGAAATTGAACAGGTGTTCCTAATAATCCTTTAAGTGAGTGTAATTACATACTTGGTGAAACAACTAGCTGAACCAGGATGCTAACAGAAAAGGAACGAGGAACAGTGGGCTTAACCTGTAATCATATAAGCTATGGTTATAAACTCACACTGATCTATTGCTACCCCAGCTTGCATTGAGCAAGAAACGATACATCCTGAATAGGACGCCAGTATAAAGGGACAACATATATAGGGTACTTGTCAATTACCCTCCCATAGATGCCTACAGTGGCAGTGTCATCATTTATTGATTACTTCATTCTTCACAGCAGTCTCGTTTTGACATCACAGTCCTATATACCTTATTCAGAGAAGTGATTTACTGTTACAGCTATCATTCATGTTAATTATTTCAAAATGTTTCAGTGCTGAAAGGGCATAGCCTAATAAAATAAAGCATCAAAAATGAACATGTGTGGTTG